AGAGCACAGAACTCAAACTTTATAAGGAACTTCTTAAGGGGACCAGAATTATTAATTTGCACTAAAATAAATACGTAGTTATCCTCACCTTATAATAAGTCTGCCTACAGACCACCTGAATTTTCACACCTGTCTGGAAGATCATGCAAACTGAGCAAACCTTGACTGTGTATATGCTACAGATTTAGACACGAAGCTAGACAGGAAGGGGGATGTCCTGTGGATAGTCACTGTCAACTTACTTCTCAGCTAGACTACTACATGCAATAGATACAAAATGCAATTATTTCAGGAAACTTGCTAATATTTTAATAACCTTATAATGAGATATTAGGCAGTATTGAATTACTTGCTCTGTCAAGTACAAAACATGCAATATAATTGTGGCTACCAGAGCACAGTGAATCCTGCCTCCTGGTATTCCTACTTTTTCGAGGTCCTTTCCCACTCTAGAAGGGGACGGTGGTACAATCTACAGAATACACAGGGGATGACGTGCCACTTCTGAGGTGAGGTGACAGAAGGAGAGGTGGCTTCTGCCTGTCTCCCAGATCTCCTGCTCGCTAGAGGGAATCAAGGTGTCATGTTGAACGGACACAAAAGTAGCCTTCCGATGTCTAGACCCACATGAGACTGAACCAGAACCATCCAGCTGCACTACTTCCACATGCCTAACTATCAGAAACTATGTAAATTAATCAATGTCTGTTTTAGGCTAATTGGAAGTAACTTGCTACATGGCAGAGGATAATACTGTAACATGCTTCACTTAACTCAAGTTGTATAACTTAAAAAAATAATTTTTTTCTTTATGCATATGGGTGTTTTGTCTACATGTATATCTGTGTATCTTTGCATGTAATACCTGCAGAGATCTAGAAAAGGGTGTTGGATCCCCTAGAACTGGAGCTACAGGTGGTTGTGAGCAGTCACGAGGGTACGGAGGAGAACCGAATCCAGGTCCTCTGCAAGGTCAGTCACTGCCCTTAACTACTGACACCAGTCCCAACTTTCTAACTTTTATTGTAGTAATGCCTTAAAAACAACAACAACAACAAACCACCTTCCCAGGAAGAGTGAGGAGGGAGGCACGATTTCTCATGCTGTATAGGATAACTATGACCGACCACAAGTGAATATCATAAAGGCTAGCAGGAAGGATGCTCAAAAGTATGTCTGAGGTAACAGTTACGAGCTGCCTTAGTCTGACCTCTGCATGTATTAGAAGGGGACACTGGACTGTGTAGATACACGCTGCCAAGGGCAGAAGCCTTTCCTGCCGCACATGCCAATATTCCCACTGACCTGACCTTTCCCACTAACTCCTTCCAGGAGTTAGAAGGGTAACTATATGATAGTCTGGGGGAAGGAATCAGACACTCAGCTCTTCACTATTTTTCTTAGATTTGGAAGACTAAGTGGTTTCATGGACCAAGGCCTCCTGAGAGGTTGCCATAAACACCCTCAAAAACTTACTTCGCTCAACTGCTGACTGAGATGAACCTAGCACACAGGATACACCATAAAAGATCTGATTAACAGTGCCCCCATATAGCATAAAACAATTTGGAGAGAAAAAAACTACACCCATATTCCCAAATATTGTTTATAAATGTTCTCTTACTTTTACTGGGAGATATGATATAATTTACATTGGTATGCATTTTGGTTTATTGATATAAATTTAAGGTCAATCTTGTTATATGTATATTTCTGCTCTTGATTGGGGTGTTGTGATGGTGTAGTTCATTTAAAAAATGTAATGTATAATTAAAAAATATAGGTTAATAGATAATCTCTATAATAGGTTTGTAGTCATGTTAGGTTTTCTAGATGTACAGAGAAGTATTTCAGATGAATAGGGATTCTTCAAATCTTTCAGAGACCTTCAGAATATGGCATTTAAATGTTTTAAAAATTTAGGACTTTTCAAGACAGTGAGACATATCTGCTCCTGGCGGCAGCACCAAGCTAATTTGAGAAGAAGATGGGCATCAAAGAAGCGCCTTAGCCATTTGGGCAAGAAACTGCTCTTGCCTGGACTGCTTCACTGGACATGCAGAACCCACAGAGAGATGACTGCTAAACTTGTCTAAAGGTGAGATGGTCCTTTGGGGTTCTTGCTTCATAAAAGAGTCTGCGAGACGTTCTACAGGACACAGAAAAAAGTGACTGAACTGTCTTTGACATTTCCAGCTTCATGGAAAAGTCTGCTGGATACTATGGGCCTGTGGGCTGAAGATGGATGCCTCAAAGGTACAGAAGAACTTTGGGTAAATGTCCAGGCAGCGAGATGTCTCTGTCAATTTTAGTGTCTTGGAAGTTGTTTATAATGCACCTTCTGTTTATTTAGGTAATATATCCTTCTGGAGTCTTTGATGGAGTTAAAGAATAGATAGTTATAGTTTTCCTCAGTTATGATAAAATATAAAGTAGATATAAATATTGTAACTGTAATTCTTGCTTGATATCTGTCATATGTAATTTTACTATGTTAAAGCCTTCCTTTTTGTTTAAAAAGAAAAGGGGAAATGGTGCAGGAGGTCCTTCTGTTTATGTGTTGTTTTCATTGGTTGATGAATAAAGACACTGCCTCGGCCTTTTGATAGGGCAGAATTTAGGTAGGTGTGGGGGTGGGGAGGACAGAACTAAATGCTGGGAGAAAAAGGGCAGAGTGAGGAGTGAGAGAAGCCATAGATCCTCCGTAGGAGATGAACACCGGTTAGAATCTCTGGTAAGCCACTGCCACGTGGCGATACACAGATTAATAGAAATGGGCTAAATCAAGATGTAAGCATTAGCCAATAAGAAGTTAGAGCTAATAAGCCAGGCAGTGTTTAAATGAATACAGTTTCTGTGTGGTTATTTTGGGTGTAAGCTAGCCAGGCAGCTGGGACAAACTAGAGGCCCACTCCTACAACAACTAAGGGAGTCGTCTGCTGAGGGCTGCTCTCTGGCACTTGTAACTGTAGGGGATAAGCCATGTTCTTGGAGCCCTCTTGAGAATGACTGGATCTGCCTGTTTCTGAAGTGTGGTGCCAATCAACTCAGTGCTGCTGCAAACCTCAGCCACATTTTCCAAACAACTGTTTTTCCTGTGTGTGTTGGGGGGTGTCAACTTACATTCCAGACTTCATCTTATCTAACACAATTGGATTCACATGTATGCAGAGGAAGACAGAAGGAAAGTAGTCTTACCAGTTTCTAAATAAGCATTTTGTGCCTAATGGAGTTTCCAGTATCTTTGAGGTAAGACTCAGAACACCTGAAGGGCTATACCATGAGAACCACACAACCAGCTGGAGGAACACATGTTTATTAACAGATAGGTGGGAAGCCATGGCTATTAACAAGCATTAGAAAATGTGAGGAGGAAAAAATACAGATGCTCAGACCCCATCCAAACCCTGAGGCCAGGAAAGGACCATGCGATTAGTTTTCACAGGTCCTCAGTTACTCGAGGACCCATTCATTCCTGGGCAAGTGCATCCACGTGAGCAGACGCCCGAGGAGACCTGGCAGAGGGCAGCGCAATGATGGAACTAGAGCAACTGGTAGCTTAAAGGGCCAGTGGGATGTGGAGGACAAGAAAAGACTGCCCTGTGCCCCGAGGGCTTACTAACTGCCAGACGCTAGTTTACATATTACCTTATTTAAGACAGTTTTACTTCTTATGATGGGAAACTTGGGCTCAGAGATGTGAAACAATTTTTCTGAGGTCACAAAACTAGCTAAATGACAGAACTGGGATTAGCAGATATTTTCATTTTCTAGATGAAATTGAGCCTTGGAGAAGTTAAATATTTGAAATCAGGGCTGAGTCTGGAGCCTATATATCCCTGGCTCGCTCTTATTCTAAGAGTGAGAGGAGGTCTCCACTGCTTAGGAAAACAGAGGTGGTACAGCACAAGAAACTGGAGTGTACCGTGGAATAGCAGGCCAGAGACAGGGTCTCTCTGTGTAGCCCTGGCTGTCCTAGAACTCAGCCTCATGAGTGCTGGGATTAAAGGTGTGTGCCAACACTGCCCAGCTAGCAGGCCAGAATTAACACTTAGATTTCTTTTTTGGCCATCTTTCCAGTCACCAGAGTCCAGATTTTGACTTGTGATGCAGTTCAGAGAATCACACAGTAAACATTACCAATGACTTAAAATTACCAATGTTTTCTAAAAAAAAACAAAAACAATTTCTTTCATTCCAGTTTTTAAAATTCATTTATTAGATAATTACTAGGCAATTTTGCTACTTGTTGTCTATTACAACCTAGACAAAACAGTAAGCTTTAATTCTATTTATTCATTTACTTACACTTATTTACTATTATTATTTGGGATTTCCCGTTTTAAATATCCTGGCTAAATCAAATGACATCATGAACTATTAGGAAGTAAGACTATCTACTTCTAAATAGGCCTAAATTCAGTCCAGTCCTTCTGACTGATAAATTCATCTTGAAGTGACAACTACGTCCCAATTAGGAAAGTGTTTCTCTATATGAGTTTAATTTTTTTAATGTGGAGGACTCTTGATTGCTAATCAGCGTGCTGCGTGATTACTTTCAATAAGTGCTTGTAGAATGCTGTTTTGTCACTCAAGTACGCACGGCTCGTTTCTGAACCCCAGGCCGGTCTGGGCTAGGAAGAGCAGCGCTAGCTATCTATACTCAATGACATGCTCAGTCCAGCTATGGGGGTCGATAGGAGGCTGGAAAAGTCTGAAAAAAAGCCCTAGATTAGAAATTAGAAGATGCAGGCAGTCTAATGCACAAGCTTGGGTAAACTGTTTCCCTCTTCTGGGCTTGGTTTTCTGTCCTAAAGCGCGACTGCTCTGGAGAGTTGTTCAACAGCTCTGGCAGAGGACAACAGTTCAGGTCCTAGGACCCACATGAACTGGCTTACAATCTCCTTTAACTCCAGCTCCCTGGAACCCAAACCCTTAAACCCGCAGGCACCTGCACTCTCAGGCACCGGGCCCCACCACCACACACAACACACACATAATTTAAAAAACTAATGACAGTAAATCTTTAATAAAGTGGCAATACAAAGAAGGTGCATTTTAAATCCAAATACATGTGTGGAGCAAAACTGTTAAAAAGAAAAACTAAGCGTAACTAGGATTTGATGTGCATGAGCATGAGTCTGCGCTAACTCACGGGCCTCACTGTCGTCCTGCCATGCTGCATGACTGCTCAAAGACAGGTAAGTCTGTCTGTTGGATCAAGGCCCCTAACCACAGTCCACCCCTTTTCCTCCTCTAGTTTCAAATGAAGAAGTCACGTCACTCAGATGATAGGATTAATCTATTTTGTTCACTTTAGACTCAGGCAGGATGTTGGCATCACTAGCCAATCCCGTGACCCCAGCAGAGATGCAAAAGCCAAAGCAGACAGATGTCAGTTGTGCTACTTAGGGCACAGATAGATTCACACATGTGGAAGATGATGAATATATGATAAAATTAAAAGGCTGTACAATTTTATCCCATTTTAATTTATTTAGTGTGTGTATACACATGCAACAACGGCACACTGTGGAGGTCAGAGGGCAACTTTTGAGTTTTCTCTTTCCACCATGTGGGTCCCATGATCTGAACTCAGGTCATCGGGATTAGCAGCAAGTGCCTTTACTCGTTGAGCCATCCTGCTGACCCTACTCAGTAATGGCAACTTAATGAGACTTAAAATAGCTCTCTACTCCTTGACTGCACACCCAATGTGACCTACAACTTCAAGTGCCTGCTGCAGTGGCTTCCCCGCTAGCTACTAGCCTGCAACTGCGAGCCAAAATAAACCCTTTTCTTCTTTAAGTTGCTATTATCAGGGTATTTTATTATAGCAACAACAAAAGCAACCAAAACAGGATCTGAAAGAAACTTAAATATTCCAAAACAGAAGAGGTGGACACAATAGGAAACTACCTCTAAGACAAACATGTAAGGTAAACAGGGGCGTATTATGCAACACATAAATGAGGGGGGGGACATATCCTAATAGTTTTTACTTGTTTATTTACATATGCATACTACAGCCCCCCATAGCTTTTACTGATCCTAGGCAGGGAACTGGGTGACTGACAGCCAGATGTAGCATGAAGATTTTCACCCTGTGATCACCGTGTGACACTGAGCTAAGTACTACTAATTTAATCAATGAACTGACCAGCAAGACAGCAGAGATGGATGATGTCCTTCGTGGAAAACATTGTAAAACGTAGGTGGTGGTCCCAAGAGTACGTATCTGCAGGTAACGTTTAGAACTGTAAGGGAATTTCCTTAAGCTATTGATCTGCTCCAAACTTCTCACTGTACAGATGTGTAAACGCGGGGCACCAAAATTAAACCACCTGCATAAAGTACACAGCAAAGGAGACAGAACTCGACATCAGACACTCCAGAACCTCCTCTGTGACTCTATTAGCTGCTCATTTGGGGAAAGGAGAACCAGGTGTGTGGACACATGAGCTCTCATGGTCTACCTAAAAGTTTTAAGAGTCTAAAACAACACCTTGGGGCAACTAATGTAACGCCTGGCTTCATATATGACTACCCGGACAAAAGCTTTTCACATCCCAGAAATTGTACATGCCTCATTTTTTGAGAAAGGGTCTCTAACTGAATCTGGTGCTCAGATTCAGCTCAGCTGAATGGCCAGTCTGTCCCTTCCCAGCCTAGAATAATAGGTCTACACACCTGGGCCAGGCTTTTTACATAATTGCTGGAGATCCAATTCAGGACCTCATTATGGTTAAGTCAAGTAATTTACTGAAGGAGTCATTTCTCCAACTCAGTAATTTTTTAATGAGACCAGAATAAATAATCACAGTAGGTAAGATTTTGGGTTTGATTTTAAGACAGGGTCTCAAATCTGTTATGGACTCATTTGTTAATATAATAAAGCCCAAGCTGGCCTCCAATCCAAGGTTGTCCTGCCCTCATCTCCTGAGTGCTGGGATTACAGAGGTATTCACCCCATACCTGGCTCTGAGGTAGAATTTATATCCCTGGTTGGGGCTAAAGGTTTAAGAAATACAACATAGAAGAGTCTAAGAGCCCATAAAATGATATGCAGGGCACAAAAGCTTCCTTTTATAGAATGTGAGTTTCTAAGTGGAAGTAGATAAACTTCCGGCCTTAACCTACTGGAGGTGTCACTTCCTTTGGGGCCAGTATATATAAAAATGGGCATTCTGAATACATTGGGAAGAACTAGCAGAAGCGCATGGTATCTTCTCAGCTAAGGTCTCCAGGCCTCTGGCATAAAGGGGATTTTCTTCTTATCTCCACGTCCCACCTCCATTTTGTTGGTCACTGTTATTCTTTTTTCTAAATAAAAAATTAAATAAAATTTATATTAAAGACTGCAATAATCGATTTTTATTTGAATTATGATTGTAATCATTAGGGGGATGTTGCTTTACATCTCAAAAGCTGAGTTGCATTTTAACTGAACCTATTAGATTGTTCAATTTATAAGTTGACATTCAGCAAGTGTTTATGGAGAGTGTACTCCACTCTAGAAATGGAAATAACATGTTAAACAAGAAATATTCCTATTAATCTTGACTACTATTTAGTTAACAAATAGTTCGTCAAAATTTCAAAATTCATACAAAAAGAAATCTAGCTAGTTCGTTCTTAGAATACACCGGTACATTACTTATATAGTGAAACGCAAAAAAAAAAAAAAAAAAGCAAAACCTAACCACTTTATTTTTGTCTTGAGGGGGGAAAAATAAACAACCCTAACAAAGTCTGTTGGACCGCTCAGCATTCTTAAGTACCTACCACAAAGTAAAATTCTTTTATTGGCTAATTTCTTCCTACAGCGGACTCGTTTCCCTCCCCACAGCAGGCTACCCAAACCATCAGCACTCTGGCAGATCGCAGGCGGTTAAGACCGCCTAGGCAACCCCACGGCACCGCAGTCCACAAGGCCAGGCAGGACTCCTCTACGGAAAGCTCAGCAACTACCAAGTGTTCGTCCCGGGCCACGGAAACCCTCGACCCAGAGGACTCCCCGGCCTAGGATGTCCTCGAGAACGCAGTCAGGCACGACGTCCTAAGCGCCACATGACCTCCCTACGAAGGCAGATCGGAAAACTTGGCTACTCGAGAACTGCCCTCCTCGGAAGGCGGAGGAGGCAGGGCTGCCGAGCTGCGTGGGTCGAGGCTCACCACGTCCCTGGGTTTGTCTCTCGCTACTCCCCTTACCGTGAGCAGATCTGAGAGGGAAGAAAGGAAAAGCCCCTGGCCTCCAAGGAGGGGTTTAGGGAAGGGAGGGGCAGCTCCGTGTGTGGTGACCCTTTGTGAACACGTACGGCGGCGCCCCGGCCGGGAGGACACACTGAGGGAGCCACGGTCCCCGCTCACGCCGGCCGCCATGATGGCGGGGCCGGGGGAGGGGGGACGGGGACCACACGCTGGTCACTAGGCCTGCGTGCCGGCGGCCGCTTCCTCGGCCGCGTAATCCCTCCGCGCACTAATTTTAATCAGGCCCCGCCCCCTGGCCGCTGGCGTCACCTCCGTCGCTCAAGCGCTTTCCAGCAGCTTCCAGAACCGTCCCCTCCCCCTCTCCTTCCCCTCCCCCCTACACTTCGCAGGCTCTGCAGCTGCGGGCCCCGCCCCTACGGGCGCCGCAGTCCCAATTGCGCCTGCGCCTGCCGGGAGGCCAAGCCACGCCTCTGCGGAGCCTTGCCGGAAGTGTTCTCGTCTTCCTCTTCCCCTCGCCCTGCCCGAGGGCTTTCAAGCCGGGTGCTCTTCAGGAAGGTGTTGCGCGGGGGGACTCTTTGGCTGCGGACTCCCGAGCGGAAGTTGCTTTCCTAGCGGGGACGGCGGTGGGGGAGGAGCCATCCGAGGGGAACGTGGGTTGAACGTTACGGGTTGATGGTGTGGCGCTCAAGCTGGAACAGGAGTTCGGACCGATTCTACACGAAGAAGGGGTGTACAGCGGGCCGGTAAGGGAGAGAGAGTTAATTTCCTCGGGAAGTAGAAATTGGGACGGCTGCAGTGCCCCGGGTGGGTCGTTGACACGGTGAAAGGATGGGCTGGGAACGAGGTTCTGGTGGGAAGAAAGGAGGTGCGGACTGGGATCAGGGTTCGTTTGGGCTTAAAGAGGTAAACACTGAAGAGAAACCAGAGTTTGTGTCCGCTCCACGAAGAGTGTGGAAAACGGGCAGGGTAACGGAACGCCGCGCCTCTTGGGCTTCCCTGGTTAGCTTTTGAAGCTCACCTCGCGTGACCCTGTCTGTCTCAAATTCGGGAAGCTGGGTTGGGTCCTAAGCAGAACTCGACTCCCAAAGTCGACCCCTTGCTTCGGATTTAAGTGTGTTGGCCTTGCCTTTGACCCCTCATATGCCTAGCTGGGAGGTAAATCTCCGACGGGTACAAGGCTATTATAAGTTTCCACACTACACATGCAGTGAATTAAATTCAATTAATCGCGTCCCTCTCGTGATTGTTTGCTAACTGGTTCCATTCTAGGCTGCTAACTCCCTTTAGGGTCTCGGCAATGTTTATCGACATTGACGGGGGCGGGGTGTGAGTGGAAAGTGCTGGAGATGAGGACTGGAAAACTTGGTTGGTCTCCCCCTTGTAACAAGCTCGTGTCATAACCTTTAGGTTGTTCTGAGCTGTTTGGGTGGATTAAGTAGGTGATTGGAAGCTGACCTGTCATTCTGACAGTGATATGAATGGAAAGAGAGATGGATTCAAAATATTTCCAAAGCGCCGTCCACAACAGATGACGTTTACGGGGCATGCGTGAGAAAGATGAGCGTAAAAGAGTAAGACTTTTCTAGTATGTTTGCAAGCTCAAAGATGGCAAATTTTAGGTACCATACAGGGAGGAGCAGGTTACTTTTGGAGAAAAGATAATGAAGCTAGTTGTTACGGGACAAATTGAAATTTAAGAACCACCCCAGGATTTTGCATATAAGATAGAGTGAAAGACCTGGAGAGTCTATTTTTGGTATTTTAAACATGCATGTCCTTTGGAGGAGGGGAGTGTCTTAATATTGTTTCGTGTTTCTACCACTTGCTGAGTCGGTCTTCCTCCTTCCCCCCTTCCTTCTCCCTTCCTTCCGTCCTTCTTTTCTTCCTTTCTTACATCCTCTTTTTATTTTAGACAAGGTCTCACTATGTAGACTGCCTAGCCTGGATCACAGAGATCCATGCTCTGGAATTAAAGGCTTAAAGGTGTGTACAACCATGCTTGGATATGACTTGTCCCCCTATTGAAATAGTGGATAATAGGATATACCTTGTCCTCCTATTGAAGTAGTGGGTGATACTAGGATCAGGAGGATTCTCATTTTTACTTCCACATTGAGAAAGAATCATTCCAGACAGTTTCCTAGATCCTCAGGTAGATAAAAAGTTTCATGAATGACTTACTCAGGAGCCTGCAGGTTTCTCTTTGATAGTGAATGCAGACTGACAGAAGGTGCACCATTTCTATCATTGGGAGTAGCTCGGATGGTAACTATAACTTAGGTGTGTTACAGTACGCCCTCATTTACTTTCCGACCCTTCCTTCCTTTTCCTTTCTTTCCTTTTTTTTCTTTTCTTCCTCATTTCCTTTCTCCCTCTTCCCCTCCCTCCCTTCCCTCCCTCCCCTCCCCTCCCTCCCTTCCCTCCCTCCCCTCCCCTCCCCTCCCCTCTTCTGTTGTCATATTCTCATGTAGCCCAGGAAGACTGTGAATTCATTTATAGCTGAGGCTGACTTTAAATTTTACATACTTTCTCCTCTCAAGTGCTGTGGTTACAGGTGTGGGCACACTCCATGTATGTATTTGTGTGTGTATATGTTTTTGTTTTGTTTCTGACGCAAGGATTCTCTGTGTAACTCTATCCTGGAACTTGCTCTGTAGATCAGGCTGGCCACCTTAGGTTTCGGCAAGATTTATGCTTAACAACTCCCTGGCTAAGTACTAGCTTATCTCTGAGGCCTAAAAGGACTTTTTGATTTGGTTTTGTTGTATTTTAAGTACATACTTAAAGTATTTTTAGACACTTTTCCCCCCTTGTATTGAGCTGTGTCTAAGAATTTTCCGTCTTCTAAATCTTCTGAATGGGGTCAGCTCTGTATATACTCAATACCTGCTTATCACGTGTAATTTGTACTATAGACATACTTATACTTATGTTTTTGTTCTGATACAGATCATTTACAAAGAGCATACTATTTTGTTGGTAACTTTTTAAATGCAGTGTTCTGCTGGTTTTAGTTGCAGGCTTTTAATCCCAGCTCTTGGGAGGCAGCTGCAAACAATGTCTGCCTGGTCCACATGTGTAGCAAGTTCCAGGTCAGGCAGGGCTATTTAGTGAGATCCTGTCTTCAAACAAAAAAGTTATTCCCAACTGGTGAAGAGTTAGTGGTTGAAAACTGTAGGAAGGTATAAATGTGTTGTTCATTTTGTTATTTTCTTTCTGTGGTAGAACAATCGGCCTGAAAGACTCAGGTTCTTTATAATGCTGACAGGGTTGCTTCAAACTGCACACACACTGAAAAGCTTAGGGCCATACACTTAGTTGACTCACTTGTTTTAACCAGTGGCTATCTCTATGAAAAGTTTTAGTTTTCTGTGTGTTAGAAAAATGCATCCTGTGATCACTCTCCTCAGCTGTTTGCAAATATCTAAATGCATTTAGCTACTTTCAGGATCATTGTTTTATAGTGTTTATCCAAGGATTTGTAGCTCACAAATATTCATAATATCTCTCATAAAATAGCAAAGCTCTCTTTTTAGAGTAAATAGAATTTTTTATTTAATTGTTGACTTTTTTTTGCAGGATTCATTGAAAAATCATTAGTGCTATTGGCATGTTCCAAGTGACATAAATTAGCCAATGACTCGGATTGATGGATTCTCTGAAGATTGGAAATGGTTTGCCACGGGTTGGACCGGGGACTGATATAGGGATATCTTCACTCCCCACGCTGGGGTACTTGGGAAAAGTTAGTGAACTTATTTTTGGCCTCAGTGAAAAATTGGTTTTTTCCTCTCTTGTATTTGAAATTTAAATTACAACTGAAACTTAAAATTTTAAATTTCATTTTATGAAGTCCTAAAAAATTCTGTCTTCCACGGAAATCTTACAGCAATGGCGAAAGATTATTATAATTTGTTTACCTCTCTGTTATTGATGTGTGAAAGTAGAAATAATGCCTAGATCTTAATGGTTTTCTATTCTTTGAAAATATGTACATTATGTATTTTCCTTGGCAGTTGATGTTACTTTTTTCTTGTAAACTAAACTGATGGTATTTTTCACTCAAAATTTAATTTTTAAAGTTATAAACATCTTATTTGGAAATAACTGTTTAAGACTGTACAGATTTCATTTGTTTGCTGTGTTTAATCTTGCTAGAACCCTTCTAGTGGGAAATTGTACTTTTTTTTGGGTTACCCTTCCATTTAATTCTTTTCTAAATTAATATTATTTAGGAATGTCTCTTTTAATTTGCTTTATTTCTCTTTTAGAATTATGGTTCAGCTAAAGTTACAACAGATGGGTATTGCCCTGCTTGTAGAGCGAAAGGAAAGCTAAACACCTTAAAAACTTACCAGATTAACTTCCAAGAATCTGTGTTTCTGTGTGAGGATCTTCAGGTAAAGTACTAATGTTACATAGTATATAGCTTTCAGCATTTTACTTTTCTTCATTGTTTAACTTTTTACTAATTTTGTCTTTTTCAGAGTATAGACTTTGAATGCATAGGTAATGTCAATTTCTAAATATCTCTGACAAATAATTTTAAATCATTTACTGTTTTCCAACTGAACTCCTAAGTTATTGCTACTTGCTATTAACCTTGTAGGGGTCCTTATAAGTTTTTAGCATAGTAGTTATTTCTTCCTTCTACACCCCCCTCCCCCCAACCTTCACAGGGTCTCACTTGTGTAGCTTTGGCTGTCTTGGAACTCATTTTGTAGGCCAGGCTGGCCTCAGTTTATAGTTAGCTGCCTTCCTCTGCTTCCAAGCACTGGGATTAAAGGTGTCCACCACTATACCTGGGCGTATAGTATTTATTAATTTCCATTTTTCCTGGAAGGGTATTTTGGTACTTTTTTATATCAAAACAGTGTATAGCCAAGCAGTGGTGGTGCACACCTTTAATCCCAGCATTTGGGAGGCAGAGGCAGAAGGTTCTCAGTGAGTTGAAGGCCAACCTGGTCTACAGAGTGAGTTCCAGGACAGCCAGAATTATTTCCCAGGGAAACCCTGTCTCAAAAAAACAAAAACAAACAAACAAAAGTTTGTGGTGTTAAAGAGATCCACAAATTAATTTGGCATTTTAGAAACAGCCCTCCCCCCATCAAAGATAACACTCTCAGATCCATTTATATTTTTTCCTCATATACAGAACTTTACATATCATACTTCTTTTTGATATAAAGCTGTCATCTTATTTCTAAAATATTGTCAAATAAAAAATAGGGAGAGGTAGCTCAGTGTTTAATAATGTTGCAGAGGACCCAGGTTCTGTTCCCAGCACTCATATGGTGGCTCACAGCCACCTGTAATTCCAGTTCCTGGGTGCATGTACATATATGCAGGCAAAACACTCAGATGCAAACAGAATCTAAAAAGAAAAAAAATTAACCAATGTTAATCTAAAAAG